AGGTAGCTATAAAAGATAGAAGCGTTCAATACACTTATAGTAACAAACCAAGTTTTTCTCAATAATCAGAAATGATTATCCAGATCTTGCGAACCTACAGACACACATCACCTCCAAACCTTGCCCCACCTTAATTCTTTCTCTACAAACAACCTGTTAAATCTAGCTGAGTTAGAGAGGAACAGAGGGAGGGGCAAGAGTGTTTCCGGTCAGAGGGTGGTGTATGTTTACCAGTCACAGAAGCAGCGTGGCAAGAGTCTCATATTACAACCGCTGCTTGTTTAGTCACTTTGTCAGCTGACCAGAGCTCTACTCCCCTTACCGCAGAGCACCCCTTGGGGCCCCTCCACTTTTAGAGAAACCAATACTTTTATTACTCAGCAAAGAACAAAAACAACAAGCCAGGGGAGGGCCAGGCAACTAAAGGTCAAACTTGATGGAGTTGCTTTAAACTGCACATTCCCTGATTCATTAACTACAACGAGACCACTCACAGAAACCTCCAAGCCACTTATGTAATGCAGGGCACTTATTTATGTCTTTTACGGTACTTAATACCACTGATAAATTGACACATTTAGCTACATTTACTTATCTTTACATCAACCGTGTAAAAAAATATTTGTATGAGAGGTCTGAATATCCAACCACCCTTTTTCTTTATGTGCTTGTTTTTTCATAAACCTGGGGAGCTAATGCCTCTCCAGCGGTCAGTGGGTGAGAGGTGGGGTGCACCCTAGACAGGTTGCCAGTCCGTCACAGACACTGATTGTGATGAAATCAAATAAGATTCACGCTCTGCCCAAGCTATGGATAACTAATAAGTTATCCACAAGTTATCCATAAGTTATAACTAATAAGTTATCCACAAGTTATCCATAAGTTATAACTAATAAGTTATCCACAGCTTGACAAAGTGTTTTAGTTTCATAAACCTGTTGTTTTGTTATTATGCCTCAAAATGTGACTCGTTTAATTAAATATAAGCGCTGCCATTTGTGTCATTAAGGTTTGAATAGAAAACTAAGACAATGTGGGTCAATGTCTGGTGGATAAAAAGAAGCGGTTTAAAAAAAGGTACATAAAAACTTAAGTATTATTCAGGGGTGGCCAATATGTCGATCGCGATCTACCGGTTGATTGCAAAGACAAATTGAGTGGATCGCATAGCAAAATAGACATAAGACTTAATTTATTTTTTTATAGAGGTTAGCCTATCATCCATCCTCACTATGGAATTTGTCACTTGATTGACATACAGGGCAGCCAATCTGAGACCAGACCTTTTCTGACACATAGGTCACCACGTATGTGCATACAACTGCGCCAAAAACTAGAATTGCGAAGTAATAGCCTCTAGTTTATTTCTTCTAATCTAAACTCAAGACAGTGTGTAAAATGGAGTGGGGCAGCTGAACCAAGTAAGAAGCAAAAAAACCTACCTTTTCCATACGGAATGGGAGGAGGACTTTTTTTTTTTTTTTTTTTACGATATCATATTCGAAGTGCGTTTGCCTCATCTACAAGTGTACCATTGCTATTCAAAAGAAGGGAAATGTAGAGTTGCATTTAGGGAATAGTCATCAAAACTTCGACACTGATTGCATTTTGAAAAGCGAGCTGAGAAAGAAAAAAGTGAAAGCACTAAAATCCAAGTTATCCGGACAGCAGTCATTTTTCCTACAACTGACTACAAAAGTGAAGGCAGCTACCGAAGCATCATTCCAGGTGAGTCACTTTAATAATTGTTAAGCACAAGTCCTTTCAGGATTGAGAAATGGTAAAAGAGGCATTTGTTGAAGCAGCTGACTCGTTCCGAGACTTTAAAAACAAACCAGAAATATTATCTTTGATCCAAGTTCTCCAGATATCAAGAAATATGAATACGGTTAAAAGCCAACCTTTCAGTCAGGGCTGCTGTATTTGTTTGTTCAGGAATTTTCACTTTTGTTCTCAAGTTCATCCATCCATCCATCCATTCATCCATCATCTTCCGCTTGTTCCGAAATCGGGTCGCGGGGGCAGCAGCTCGAGAAGGGAGGCCCAGACATCTCTTTCCACAGCCACCTCTTCCAGCTCTTCAGGGAGGACCCCAAGGCATTCCCAGGCTAACCGAGACACATATAGTCTCTCCAGTGTGTCCTGGGTCTTCCCCGGGGTCTCCTCCCAGTCGGACATGCCCGAAGCACCTCCCTAGGGAGGCGCCCAGGGAGCATCCTTACCAGACACCTGAACCACCTCAACTGGCTCCTCTCGACGTGGAGGAGCTGCTGTTCTACTCCGAGACTCTCCCGGATAACTGAAATTCTCACATTTCTCTAAGGGAGAGTTCAGCTACCCTGAAGAGGAAACTCATTTCAACCGCCTGTATCCGCAATCTCATTATTTCGATCACTACCCAGAGCTCATGACCATAGGTGAGGGTAGGAACGTAGAATAAACGGTAAACAGAGAGCTTTGCCTTACAGCTCAGCTCCCTCTTCACCACAATGGACCGGTACAGAGTGCGCAATACTGCAGACGCTGCACCAATCCATCTGAAAATTTCACGCTCCATTCTTCCCTCATTCGTGAACAAAACCCCGAGACACTTGAATTCCTTCACTTGAGGCAGAACCTCATCCTTGACCTGAAGAGAGCAATTCACCCTTTTCCAGTTGAGGACTATGGCCTCAGATTTGGAGGTGCTGATTCTCATCACATCTGCTACATATTCGGCTGCAAACCGCTCAAGTGAGAGCTGAAGATCACGGCACAAAAACGCCAACAGGACCACATCATCTGCGAAGAGCAGAGATGGAATCCTGAGGCTACCAAACTGGAAAACTTGTTCTGAAGTTCTCAGGTGATTTTTCAAACATGAAGTTATTCTTGTTGTTTTCAGTTCCTTTGTGCGAAGAACACAAGTTATTGCTGCGTTTTGTTTATCATTTTGTACAAGGACAGCAAAAATAAATCGTCATTTTTTTTTAAACATACTTTTGTGTTTTTTCATTTATGTTGCGTCCACGGCGAGCTGAGATGTAAAACAAATAAAGTATACTTACTATGTTTATAAATAAGTATATATACTTCCTTTTCATCGTGTGAAGTATATAT